CTACTACATTTTCGCCCCCCAGGCCCTGATGTAGGTCAGTGACCTGTGCCAGGGTGGGCTAAGCCTCATAATAATAATAATAATAATAATAATAATAATAATAATAAAAAAAAAAAAATCCCTTCCACACCACAGCTCTGTGATTTCCCTCTGGTTTACTCATCATTTAAAAAAACAAAAAACAATCACTTACCAGCTGCACATCCATTTGCCATCACAAAGCACTTGATACCATGCTCACTGATCACACTGATCAGGTATATATGTTTCCTTTTCCATGAACTTTATCAGAGGAGTTATTAAATTAGATCTATATCTAATGTACCATAAATGAAACAAGAACATTTACAAATAGCTATAACCCTCCTCTGTAAATATACACTGTACGCCTTGTTTTGTACTTCTCCTTAATCTGTACTCACCCCTGAAGATGTGAATTACACGAAAGCGCTTGGGAACTTTGTGTTTTCTTCTTTCCTTGTGGTTATCAGCATATACCTGGATCACGCGCACCTACAGTGATTTACTTGTGTATATATATATATATATATATATATATATATATATATATATATATATATATATATATATATATATATATATATATATATATATATATATATATATATATATATATATATATATATATATACTCTACTTTCCCAAAAAGAAGAAATTTTACTTTTCTGGAAAATCGATAACCAACTTTCCCGGAAAGTAGATATTTCCCATTTTCTATGATAATATACTTAGGAAAATCAGGTAATATTTCCCAACAAGTCGATAATCTACTTCCAATATAATTCGATAATCTACTCTCCCGAAAAGTAGATAATCTACTTTTTGGGAAAGTAGATAACCAACTTTGCCGGAATGTAGATATTTCCCATTTTCTGATACCAGTTTCCCGTTTTCTATGATAATATACTTAGGAAAATCAGGTAATATTTCCCAAAAAGTCGATAATCTACTTCCCCTAAAAGTCGAAAATCTACTTTCCAGAAAAGTAGATAATCTACTTTTTGGGAAAGTAGATAGCCAACTTTCCCAGAAAGTAGATATTTCCCATTTTCTATGATACAAATTTCCCGTTTTCTATCATAATCTACTTCGGAAAATTAGGTAACATTCCCCCCAAAAAGTCGATAATCTACTTCCCCTAAAAGTCGAAAATCTACTTTCCCGAAAAGTAGACAATCTACTTTTCAGGAAAGTAGATAACCAACTTTCCCGGAAAGTAGATATTTCCCGTTTTCTATGATATAAATTTCCCATTTTCTATGATAAGTAGATAACCAACTTTCCCAGAAAGTAGATATTTCCCATTTTCTGTGATACAAATTTCCCGTTTTCTATGATAATATACTTAGGAAAATCAGGTAATATTTCCCAAAAAGTCGATAATCTACTCCCCCTAAAAGTCGAAAATCTACTTTCCCGAAAAGTAGCTAATCTACTTTTCAGGAAAGTAGATAACCAACTTTCCCGGAAAGTAGATATTTCCCATTTTCTATGATATATATTTCCCGTTTTCTATGATAAGTAGATAACCAACTTTCCCAGAAAGTAGATATTTCCCATTTTCTGTGATACAAATTTCCCGTTTTCTATGATAATATACTTAGGAAAATCAGGTAATATTTCCCAAAAAGTCGATAATCTACTCCCCCTAAAAGTCGAAAATCTACTTTCCCGAAAAGTAGATAATCTACTTTTCAGGAAAGTAGATAACCAACTTTCCCGGAAAGTCGATATTTCCCATTTTCTATGATATATATTTCCCGTTTTCTATGATAAGTAGATAACCAACTTTCCCGGAAAGTAGATATTTCCCATTTTCCATGATACAAATTTCCCGTTTTCTATGATAATCTACTTCGGAAAATTAGGTAACATTCCCCCCAATAAGTCGATAATCTACTTCCCCTAAAAGCCGAAAATCTACTTTCCCGAAAAGTAGATAATCTACTTTTTGGGAAAGTAGATATTTCCCATTTTCCATGATACAAATTTCCCGTTTTCTATGATAATCTACTTCGCAAAATTAGGTAATATTTAACAAAAAGTCGATAATCTACTTCCCCTAAAAGCCAATAATCTACTTTCCCAAAAAGTAGATAATTTATTTTTTGGGAAAGTAGATAACCAATTTTCTCTGAATGTAGATATTTCCCATTTTCTAGGATACCAATTTCCCATTTTCTATGATAATCTACTTCCCAAAATTAGGTAATATTTCCAAAAAAGTCAATAATCTACTTCCCAAAAAGTCGATAATCTACTTTCCCAGAAAGTAGAAAATCTACTTTTCGGGAAAGTAGATAAGCAACTTTCCCAGAAAGTAGATATTTCCCATTTTTTTATGATACAAATTTCCTGTTTTCTATGATAATCTACTTTGCAAAATTAGGTAATATTTCATAAAAAGTCCACCCTGGCCCAACCTGTTAACCAAAATTTGATATATGAATTATTGCTTGTTCAAATGGCTTTTAGAAAATTTTAATTACTTTTGCAATGTTAATTACTCACCACTTATGGGTTTTCGAGGTCATTTCTTGGTGCTTGTGTATTATTCTGGATGTACTTTAATGGTTAGGCACATTAAATTTTAGTTCTGAGAGAAAAGGTATTTTTGGCTAAAAATCCTGTAAGGGGTAAGCCTTACAATTTTTGGCATTTTGTCCACGGTGAGCCAGGAGTATCTATACTGAGATTTTGAACAAAATCTATTTTTTGGACCCTTACAGGATTTTTTGGCAAAAAAAAAAAAAAAATAAATGAATATATATATGTCTTGAATAAAGACGAAAGCTAAGGTACTTCGTTGTTTCCATTTTCCCGTGTGATTTTATCAAGATTTATCTTATCCACGTTTTCATTGTGGATTTACATGAAATATAATATATATATATATATATATATAATATATATATATATATATATATATATATATATATATATATATATATATATATATATATATATATATATATATATATATATATAATATATATATATATATATATATATATATATATATATATATATATATATATATATATATATATATATATATATATATATATATATATATATATATATATATATATATATATATATATATATATATATATATATATATATATATATATATATATATATATATTATATATATATATATATTATATATATATATATATATATATATATATATATATATATACATATATATATATATATTATATATATATATATATATATATGTATATATATATATATATATATATAAATAATATATATATATATATATATATATCTCTTAGAAACAAAAAGTTTGTTAGGATAGCCTCTGAGTTAAAAAGAATTAAAGGTTGCTAAAAATTTTACAGGACTTTCTCAAGCGTATTTTCACCATCAGACATTCTTCTCAACAGTTTCCATCAAGACTCTTGATAATAAACAAGGCAGTTAATGTTCCTTCAGTATAGCCATGAGTTAAAATTTATACAGTACGTATAGGAATTAAACAATAAAACATAAAATAATAATATAAAACTAAAATGAGGCATGAGTAACTTCATACTGTACTTAACCCTCTGATAGCTGAGCAATAGTTTTTTAACTTCTGTGGTCACTGCTTATACTCAATACGTTTGATTGTTGTAAGGGGCATAAATGAGCTAAATTTATGTTGTTAAAAAGCAATGAATTATTTACTGTACTGTGACCTATTAAAATTATGTAAAAGATTGTTCTTAATTTGGGCAATTTTATCCTGCAATGATACACAGTGACAAACTATGAAACAAGTAACCTTTAAAAGACTTAATATCTTGGCCACGTCTTCACTACTAATGACTCGAGTCCCTGCCGCCCTTGAGCGGGCGAGCGTCTGCTGTGTGTGGCCACCACCCCAACCAATCACCTCGACTCAGCTAGGTGGACAGCCCACCTGCTATCACTCCCTACTACTTTCCTTCCCGTTTCTATGCTTTCCTTCTCTCTCTCCTCTCCTCTCACATGGCAAAGTTATTTGCCACTTTACTTCATTATCATCATCATCAAATGCCTAGTGATGTTACAGCCCATCAGATAGTGTGTTATACAGTACTGTAAGCTTAAAGCAGGAGCTTATATTTTTCAAAAGTGGTTGTCTATTTTAAGATCTTTTTATGGTGGATTGAAGTCATAAATGTAAGCCTTGAAATCTATGGATATCAGTTGAGAGGAAATTTTCCCCTTTGAGTTTTCCTTTTAGTTTGAGCAAATTCTTGTTATTTGACAAACAACCTGTAAAATACTTAAAAATACAGTATACAGGGCCCCCCCAAGTTCACGGATTTTTATTTCGCGGTTCTCTATTATTCGCAGATGACACCCTGGATGTTCCCAAGAATGTCTGTGGGTAGTTTTAAAGTTGCCGGCATTTTCGTGGCTGGAACAGGGAGCCATTCATTCTGGAGACAGTAATTTCTGTTACCTGTATTGTAAATATGTGTTTGTGTGTAGACACACACACATACAAAACACACACAAATAAATAATAATTGGAAAATTCTCTGACAATAATCAGAATTTTTTTTATTAAAACTGTGACAGTCTACCCTCAAGTATGTTCCTTATTAACAAAGTAATATAGCACGGACTTCAGGGTAGACTTGCATTTTTAATAAATTTTTCTGATTATTTGTAAGAGGATTTTCCAATTAATATTTATTTGAGTGTGTGTGTGTGTGTGTGTCTACACACAAACACATATTTACAATATACAGTACAAGTAAAAGAAATAATTGTCCCAAGGGGAAACACATAAAGGGAATATATGTACATTTCTTTGTACACAAGTAAAAATGTAACACCCCCCGGTCTGCAAATGCTATTCGCGGATTTGACGATTAGCGGCCATTTTGAGAACCCAACCCCAGTGAATTTGGAATTTGGGGGGCCCCCTGTACTACATATAACAAAATAAATACAACAATACATAAACATAAAAGGGTTCTCACTGATTTTATTTGTAAAAGTTATGTACAGTATTGCACAAATGAATATCATTGCGTAATACAGTACCCAAATCATTTAAAAACACCTAAAAGTATGGAATTTAACATATCACTTGGGAATCAATGGATTGAAAAGTTTCTTGTTCAATGATGCCATGTTGGAGTGTGTACAGCTTCTTAAAAGTTGTTCTGCCAATAACATTTTTCACTTACTACAAGATTTATTCATTTGCTCAGCAGTTTTGTCATTTTGAAGACTTTGTGAAGGAGTTTCTTTTTCTAATACTGCCATTGCTGCTTGTTTAAGTTCCTTAGGACTCATTACATATAACACTGTTCTTGGTCGTGCTGTAACAGCTTGCTTGCTTTTCTTGTTCGGCTGCACACCACTAGAATCTTCCAGCCACGACGGAACGTGCCGTACCCTTTGTGTCGAATTTTGATCGGGATCCATTGAATACATGTTACACAATTATTTGATAACAATAACTAACAATACTATTACTAACCTCAAACAACACTTAAAGCTTCTAATTATTTCAGGAAAATACTAGTCAGTTATGTATCAAATCTGTATGGAAAAAGACAGGGTTCAGGAGTTGATAGGCAGTGTTAATCTAATTGCACAGCTTATGTATCTAAACTATCAATATATGTATTGTAAGTGCTATGACACTCACTACACAGCAAAATGTTATACTCCAAAAACTGCAAGAAATTACAGACTGACATAATTCTCAAAATATGGAAATTTAAGCCATCAGCACATTTAGTATTAATTTAAACCAGCACTTAATAAATTTCAAAGCTGATATCACATACACACTGTAAATTATCCCTGATCTTTAATTACCATAAAAACACTAAGTCAGTCTCAGCACAGATGTCTACATAAAAATATTTCACAGTACAGTATGTGTACAGTAATATTAAAAGATAGTTCTTTGTATTTTGGTCAACAAATACAGTAATATTTGAAACTCGAGTACCAAATAATAAAAAATACAGTATTTAGATGTTACCATACTCCAAGCTGGATTCTGAGGAGGATGGAGACAGCTGTGGGTACTGCTCGGGAACTGGGTGAAGATAAGGGTTAGGGCGTCGTACTGGAATGCCATAATAATCATCTGTATCCTCTGCTGATGTGTCTCCACCACCCCAGTCTAAACCAGTAGCTGCACGGTCATTTACCAGCTGTTTGAATTCTTGAATGGACTCATTAAGTGACCACAGCTGACAGAGAAGAGACATGTCTAGCTGACGCAGACCAACCTGTACGAAGAATTCAGAAAAAAATTTATAGCATCTGATTCTAATTATTACATACAGTATTCACCCTTTGTCAAAGATTTAAAAAAAATAGGAATATAGTAAACTGAAAAATTAAAAACACTGAAGTGTGACCCCCAAAAGGAAGCTAAGTAGAATACTGTATAGGAAATACCCATTCCCAGTTTCAAATGATTAATGTTCTAGCTGTGAATTTTTCAATTAACATGTGTGGATGATAAATGACAAGGGCCCTAATAAGACCAAACCAGCTGAACCGATGCAACATAGAAAAATACTATGTACTGTACTTTTCTTTCTCATTCATATTGCAGCCAAATCATTGTGTCTTATTTTTAAAAGAAATTACACTACATATACTGTATGCTACTGAAGTGAAAGAACATAATTTTATATTACTAGAAATCAACACATTACGTATGACATTTATACTGTATACTGCTACAGCCGAGAGAGACGAGCATAAGCATTCTCAATAATGTACTCACCCTATATCTCAACATTAAAATTTAAGTAGCGTTGAACTTAGGTATTTAATTTGCCTAATGCCAGGTAATTTATTCAGCTGAGAGAAACACCTACCATTAAGAAAATAAAAGGGTATTATGGATGGTTTATTCCTTAAGGAAGTATTATTTCTACTTTGAAATTCCTTTAAACCAAACTTATTTTACAAATAAGTTCAGTTATGTACTATTATTGATACATTTAGTAACTGGGGTAAATACAAATACTGTATTTTACAGAAACTCACCATCTCCTTTCTCAACACAACCAATTGTGAATCTAATGTGGAAGGTCTGCGTTGCCTGGGAGGACCATGTGCAGGACTTAATCTTGGGTTATTTCCAGTGATTGAGCCAGGAACTGGAGGACTTCCTCTTGGACTGTGAGTTTTATTTCCTGAACTGCATCCACTCTGGTTACGAGGAGAAGTTGAATGGCTCCTAGGCGATGAACGAGGAGAGAATCCCTGAATGGAGCCATTGGCATAATATGGTTCAAATGCACTGGCACCATACCCCACTCCAGAATAATGTGAACGAGCAGATTCCGGGCGAGAGTCCATACGTGATTCAGTGCGGGAATCAGCTCTTACAGGTGGACTGTAACGTTCAGTGTTAGGTTTGACTGGTGGACTGTATCGTTCTACTCCAACACCACTGCCACTTCCTCCGCTGCCACCACCACCACTACTGCCATCTCGTCTACCAGCAAAATTAATAAGACCACTCAGACTTTTTGGTAGAGGAGGGAGTCCTTGAATTGTTGTCATCTTCACAACTTTATTGACTGATCAACAGTTTGGTAGCAAGAAGCAAAATTATCTTTTATTTTTGTGTGAACTGAAAAGTACTGTATGTACTGTATTCTATCTTCTTATCGCTGCTAATTACAACTCCTGAACCCTGCCACAATAGAAAATCAGAGATTACTCATATTTACACAACAGTCTCCATCACTTTCAATTACTGTTCTTTTAATCATGTCTTTTAAATTCTTGCTCTCCACTGAAATCATTATCTGACTACTGTACAGTAAATATATATACAGTACTGTATATATTTTATATTTACTTGCAGTATTTTCTAGAATCTGGAGAAAACAAAATATTAGAAATTAGAAACTTAGGTGTACGATTATCTCCACAAGTCAATGCTACAGTACAGTACTGTCCACTTAAAGAGCCTTTTACACTGGTGAGTAACTTTCACCTCAAAATAAACTCTATACAGTACAGTGCTCAACAGATAGAAGTAAATACAGTTCATTATAACATAAGTCTAATGGGCCTTGAGGCATTCACTTAGGGAAAGAAGCCATTTATTTACCATTTTGGATTATGGCAGACTTTTGTTTATGTGGACCTTTTAAAACACTACAGTACAGTACATCTAAACTTAAGGAGGAAAAGAAGGTAAGATATTACCAAGTCATAAAAATTGCTTCTTTCACATTTAAGGGTCTTACAAAAAAGAAGACAATATATTAATGGTACAGTACAAATGAAGTACAATTACATGACTTAGAACCCACAGGGGAACATGCAACAAAGAGAGCCATTTGGGTAGAAATACTGATTAATTACCAGGGTATTTGCTTTTATGAATATCAAGCTCCTTGCAAAAATTTCACTGAGTTTCATGTAATGAACGGAAGCCAAGGATGGAATGTACCAATGGAGGCACGAAGGTATTCTACATGCTTGTGGTTGAAGACAGAGAAAAAAAAAGCTAAGTGATACAGTACATGCCAATGTTAATATTCAAGACAATATGTCTGTATTGCCATACATGGACTGTGACATAAGGATGTGCTCATTTACTGGTAGTAGTCCAGGTTAAAGTTCATCGACATTAAAAAAAAAAAAATATTGAAGACATCTCACACTTCCAGGCTCGGTATAAATCTCTTGTAAAAACTATGAAAAAGGTACAGAGCTGCAAAAATGTAGGGGCCTACTAACTACGTGAAACTTATGCAAAGTCAAGAGACCCCTCAACTGAATTTACTTTAAAATGCCTATCTAGGAATCATGAAAAAAAAAAGGTTCCTTTTCCTTTATTTGGGAGGAATTAAGCAAATAACTCGTGATCCAATACAATGCTATACATTATGCAAATTCAAGGGGGTTTAGAATATAATTAGTGAAAAGTATACGGTTATACTGGATAACTTATACTGTACAGTAATCATTTATGGGAAATAAGATGAAACTAAAGGTTAAAAGACAAATGGCAGGCACCATCAATTGCAAAATATATAAATTATGGCCTCAACACTTAAAACAGCATCGCATCAACTCCGTACACTTAATCACATTGGGTTTACTCATATTTAAATACATTATATCTTAACATGCGCCCAACCCCCATTCCCCCAAAAGTACGGTACCACATTTACTGTTACAATAGTTTGAAGCTGGCATCCTATTGATGATCTCTCATTTGAACTTCTGCCTCCCCCACTAAAATTCAGGTTTCCAAAATGTGTGCCCACCTGCCTTGAAATGTTTTCAAGGCAAAATTACAAACTATATTGTAATGAAGACTCACTTTGTTTCCAGTTTTGAAATGTAGATCTAGTATTTTCAACTTATATTATTTGTGGTAGCCAATTTGTAGGCTATGGCGAACAGCACCTAAAAATTTTCATGTACAGTAAATTATATTTTCTTGAAAATTGTAAGTCACATAAAGCTGGCAAAAAAGAAAAAAGAGGGAGGGGGAGAGTCGCCCCTTCTTGCGCCCCCCCCCCCCATGTGAAGAGGTTTGAAGGTAGCACGCAAAGTATATTTTTTGAGAGACTGGCAACATTTCTATAATAGTTGAAGAATGTGGCGGGCCAGTAACCTCATCGATGTGAACCACAACTCAATATGCACCCCCACCCCTCCCAACTATGCCTTCTAAATCAAGTCTCCTTCCACTAATTTATCTTTAAATTCACATTTCAGTACTGTAATGCCATCTCTGTACCATCCATTTGTAACATTAGTTAATTAAATAATATCAACCGATATTTTCTTAGCCTTAAAAAAAGCAAACTTCGGCCAGTACTGTATTGATTATATACACTGTATACCAAATTTGACTATCTCTTAAAACATGTACAGTACTATAGGCTAGATTAATATGCAAATTGTGAGGAACTTCTTTGCTCAGTTTAATGTGGCAATAACACTCCCCCCCCCACCGTTTTTCCAGCAATTTTGCTGCGTAGCCTACGGTCTATTGGCGACACTTTTAAAAAGGAACTTTCCATTGGTCCTTTTCAAAACTGAATAGGTTAGAATGGGTTAACCCTTTAGGTGCGTAATTAAATTTCGCGCCGGTTCCTGAAAAGTGTCAATTATCCTGCCAAAAATGAATTTCATATAATCACATTTTCTATATGTTTTTCCTAGAGAACTTTTAGTATATTTTCCAAATCTGGAACAAAAATTCACATATGTGTGCAAATTTTAGAGAAAAAATGACATTTATACCCAAAAATGCAGGAAATTGGTATAAATCAATGTCTGGTATATGGCAAATAAATTTAATCAATTTGGTTACTAAACAGCAAATTTAGATATGTATTACATATTCAGATAATATCAAACAAAATAGTACAAAAATAAGCTATATTGCATTCAGGAAATACTCCTATACCTCAATACATAATATGTCCGCATGTCGTCTCATTTGGGGAAGTTTTTTCAAGGCCGTGGGATATCCCCGCTTGTCGCATTTAATTAATATAATATTTTGGGCGGGTTTACCCGCATGCCGCATCCAAAGGGTTAAATTGATTTATTTTAAGTTAAAACTCTTCACGAATAAACTGAGGACACTTATACCATTAAATAAGACCTCGACTGAGCTTCAAAACCCAAAGATCCCAGTGATGTCGTTATAAACCCCACCTAACATCTATCTTGTAACCATACTACTGTAAATAAGTGCTTTGTCGGCAGCATGCTTCCAAACCATTATATGTACTATATACATCAAAGTTCAGAACTGTAGCCAGTTCAAACATATGATTCGTTTATCAGTAACCAAATTCCCAACCATGCCACTGCACGGGCAATTAATAACAAACAATTTAAAGTAAATTTATAGTACAGGACCTATATAATGTTTTTGTGTTTAATGATAATTTCAGACATAAGATATTTTTCTGTCATTTTTCACAATTTTAATTCAAAACAGAGATATCGTAAACTGAAAATCAGAAAATTACTAGAAAAGCTATTATTGCATTTGTTGTCACCAACCGAATCGTCTTGTTTTTGTCTGAAATTATCATTACACAAAAAATATCTCTGATATGGCCTCTATTATAAATTTACCCAATTTAAAATCGAAAATTAACGTTTAAAAACCAACTTTCTTCGAAGGAAAGGTATCACAATCTGAAGAAATAAAATAACCCTATGTACGACACACTTTTTTGTGACCGTATTTGATTATCTATACTGTATTAAAAGAGTAAGCAAGAACCTGAGACTGTGTGCAAAATAACAAAAAGAAAGGGAGAACCAAAGCAGTAGCAACAAGAATGGTAGGAATAACAGCATATGCAGAGATGGGAACAAGGTGGACGGTTACAACAGTATTATAGTGACAACACATGCTGCACCAGCTGACACCTTTCACTGTTCCCTCATGTTACCACACTCCACATCACACTAAGGTCACACACACCACATGCACAACACTTCTCTTGGTACCTCGAATAACACTACGATCCGGCATTTTTTTTTTAAAGTAATTACGCCCAATGAGTAGAAAGCTCAAGACACGAAGGGACAAGACAATCTCATTTAGCAACCATAAAAATCATATGATATTCAGTCAATTTAATCAAGGACAGCTGACAAAAGCCATGAGTGGCTTGTTTCCAGTAATCCTTATGCCAGCAGCATCTGGTGTTCTTAGGGCCAGATGGTCATCCATTTATGTCAAGCATTAATTATGCATTAGTGGCAAAGGAGACGACTCACCAAACCTCCAAGGACAAGAACTCAAGCCACCAAGGATAAGAACTCACTAATTGTATTATGATACACGTCTTCAGCTCCAACGTCTAATAGGTAAGTAGGACGTGGAACCTTGAATGGAAACCATGGGAGGGGCTCTTGGGAGAGGCTAAACCTGAGTTAAGGATGGGGTTGAAGTGAGCGGGAGGAGGGGTTGGAAACATTGTTGTGGTGTGGGGTTGTTGGCGAAGAAATGAAGTACCGGACGGGATGCAGTTTAAGGCGGGCGGGGAGGAACCTGGTGGTGGTGATAGACTTAAAGTGATGAGGGGTTGGGACATAGTGACAGGGCAGAGTCAAACAGGCTAAGTAATCATGTGTCGAGGTTAAGGTCATAGCCAAAATGTCCATATAATATTTCAACACTGCCTTCACCTCCACATACGTGTGTACGGTACTATATTCTACTTTGTATTATCGTCGGAGACTGGTTTCAGTACTTATAGGTTTGTTAGTGTGGCTTACATGAATATTTGAGCTCTTTCTAAATACTGTAGAATACATCAAAGTACTTAATGACTTCAAAATCATAACTCAATAGACAACATACAGTACATACAGCTAGACCCCGACTTACGACGGGGTTAGGGACCCAAATCCAGGTAGTAAGTCCGAATGGTCGTAAGTCCGACATAGATAAAAAATCTACAATGAAATACAGTACAGTAAAAGTAATAAATAATGAGGAATGGATACAGTACAGTGAAAGTAATAAATAATGAGGAATGGATACAGTGTGACTGAGCACTTACCTTTAACGTAGTCAGCTGAATGCACATGGGGCCCCCATAATTTTCTAATTATACATGGCGACTACATTAACTGGAAACGTTTCGGTATAGAAAATGCGTGAGTCATTTGAAGAAAAGAAGGAAAAAAAATGGTCACAACTGCGGCGGTCGTAAGTCCCGACGGTCGTAAGTCGAAGCAGTCGTAAGTCGGGGTCTAGCTGTATATTGTTTCTCACTCTTGATCTTTTTTTTTTTCATTTTTTTATTTTTTTATCATTACTGTATTACATTTTCGCCCCCCAGGCCCCGATGTGGGTCAGTAACCTGTGCCCCGGTGGGCTAATACCCGTAAAAACCCAGTCATCCCGAGGGTTTGGGGGCTCACGCTCTCTCGGTTAGTAATTATAGTTCAAATGCAACACATAAACTAGTAAAAGAAGGCTGTGCTGAATGGAAGCATTTTAATGAAAGACTAAAATCTCAATAGTAATCAAATGAACACAAGACTTCGTAATCGGTTCTAACAAGTATTATAGCTGAACATAATTTTGCTTTTGACAAGTTATTGAGTGTTATTGCAAGCGGTACTGAGTATGAAGACACATAAACAAACAATATGTTAGGCTGTAAGTCATGTCATGTTTATTGGGTGTGTCTGCCCGTATACAGTATATATATAGTGTTGAGATGGAGGCAGATGAGAGACCCAGAGTAGGTTGAGGTGTTGGGTGGTGTAAGGGGAGCTTGTTTGCGTATAACACACCTGACGCAGCGAGTCTGAATAGCCGGCCTGGACACGTGATGCCCGGCAGGGCACCGCTTCCTCACTGTAGCTATCCCCATCATAGTGCCAACACCTAACCTGTTTCTCTTGAAGACTTTCAACACGTTGATGTATAATTTTATGGTTGTATCAAGGCTTGAACAAATTAATTTCAAGAATAATTTGCTGCTCAAAACACATATAGTCTACATTCAGTTAAGAAAATACTGGAATAATTATCTAAAAGTAGTCAGCAATTTGCTGTTCAAAACACACACAGTCTACATTCAGTTCAGAAAATACGATAACCTGGTGGATTGCTTAACTTTTCAATATACTTTACTGTAAAATTCTTTTACTCTCCAAGTAAACAGATTCAATAATAATCTTGGACAATTCTGATGACAGATTGACCAGATTTTACTCTTAATCCTAAAAACTAAGTTTATTTATCCAATACAGTACAGTATTAATTATCATAATACAATGCACAGTATATTAACCTATCCAGTGTAACAGTAGTACCGGCTTTTCTGCTGGAGTAATCTTTTCGTTTTGTTATCTCCTTGTTAAAAAATATTGTCAAAAATTCATACAGTACAGTAATTATATTATACTGCGCAACAGTGGTCTCCATATTTGAAAAGGAACATCATCATATCAGAAAAAATTCAAACAGCAAAACTGAGCTGATATTTTAAGATAGAAAAGGACATAGACAACCTTAATTATAATACTGTACCTTCTTCAGAATGACAACAGATATACAAGTATTGTACAGTACAACAAGACAATCATATATACTATACAGTAATCCATACAGGAGGAAAGAGCAAAATACCTGACTGTGTAAAGAGTGCCACAAATGTTAATGCATTTAAATGATGCAGTGAATATCTTGCCATGACCAGCTAAATTGTTAATAACACTATTTTACTGTGAGTGTGCTCTGATTGGCTAATCGTCCATTACCGGCAAACAATGCGAGAATTATATGTGACCGTGACTTTTGGCGACATTTGGCATTTATTTTACTGTAACTAGATCATTACTGTGTAGCTATAAACATACCTAACCAAGAGTTGTTCGATTTTGTTCTTTTTTTCCACAGATGTTCTTATCATTAGAAAAGAGGCGACATTTACTAGAACCTAAAAGAACCTGACTTAACCAACCAAATAAACCTACCTAACTTCCTAGCCGGGGGCTGGACCCCCCCCCTGTCATATTAAACATAAAGTACTTATCCAGTCAGAGCGCACTCATGGTAATTTAAATAGTTTTAGTAGGAATTTAGCCGGTCATGGCAAAATTATCTACTACGCTAAATAAATTAAATGACAAACACCAGTAAAGGTTTGTTTGTTATTTATACAGAGGAACATTATACAATAAAATTTCAGATGAGGGTAAATAGCTGATAATTTCCCTTTAACTGTCAAGCACATATTTTGTGCATATATTATCCTTCAATGAACTTTGGCAAGTTATAGTGGTATGTTACAAGTACATGTATGCATATTGAGGTTGATTAAGCTTCCAATTCTTTTTAGTATTTTGGGTAAAGGTGTAGAAAGGGGTGACCACCAGAAGTTGTTTGTTGATTTTCTTTATTTTAGTTAAACATATTGTTTTGATGATTTAAAGTATATTAAAAAAAATAAAAACTTTCTGGTATAATTGTAAGTATTTTTTTAAGATTTTTTTTATTTACTCTATCTCGCTTCATAATTCTCCTCCCGGCGCCATTTTTATTGTTTATCTCGCTGAATCCCTCTTCAAGAGGGATGGTGAACGCTTCCACGAATTCCTCCTCACCATTGCTGACGTATATCAACCTCAATATTAAGGTAAGTTGTTGAACACATAAATTAACACGATAATGCAAAGAACCTGACCTAACAAACCCAAAGGTTCTATGCAATGTCATTTCCATTTTTGTGTTTAATATCAACATATTAGAGTAGAAAAATTTCAACCAATTCGGACAATTCCTTCTGGCAGTAGCCGTTCTACACTTTTTTTTTTGCACCCCATCCTTGTGTAAGGTGAAGCGCAGAAGAGTTTACAGCGCCCAACAGGGAAGCATGCTAAGTTCATGCTTGCCTTATGTCTCATGAGTTAAGGGCGTAGAAGCCTGAAGAGTCAAGGGCGTAGAAGCCTGAAGAGTCAAGGGCGTAGAAGCCTGAAGAGTCAATGGTTTATGTCTAAGCAAGTTATTGGAAGCTCCAACAACTTTCCCTGAATACGAATTCGCAACTTTCGATTTACAGCAGGTACCTACTTTGCTGCTAGGTGAACAGGGACCAAGGGGACTAGGAAGAGTGTGCAAACAACTTTTGCCGGTCAGGGAATTTGTTTGCACACTCTTCCTAGTCCCTTGGTTCCTGTTCACCTAGCAGCACAGTAGGTACCTGCTGTAATCAAAAATTGATTTCGTATTCATGGACAAGTTGTTGGAGCTTCCAATAACTTGCTTAGACATAAACCATTGACTCTTCAGGTTTCTACGCCCTTGACTCTTCAGGCTTCTACGCCCTTAACTCATGAGACATAAGTCATTTCTGGATTTTAGGAGCCACTTAATCAGGTAAACTTGTCACACTGCCGTCCACCACTAAGGTTCTATCAACACTACACTGATCACGTCTCTGAACACTGGTTACACCCTAAAACCCAGTAGGAAACTGGTACAGTATGTGGATCAGAGGTGGTAGATCAAACCGCATAAGTCACACCACAGGTCACAGGTCAAGTCCTACTCAGAACAAATTCGCGGGAAGCAAATGTCGAGCCCCTAGGTAACGAAGGTTTACAATATTTTCATTTTTCCCCATTTGTTCCTGCATATTACGACAACCATTGACTAAAACCTTGACTTCTTGAATTAGTGTGAATGTTATGCACCGTCATAAACTAGTAAATATGTTCGTTCATTTGCAAAAAAGTAAAATTTCGACATTACTCACACATCTCCCTCACACTCCAGTCAGCACCAGTGGTTGTTTACATCTCCTCTCACCGTCCCAACCATAGCATGGAGTCTATGGCTGTACTGTAGAGGTTATACCTGTTAAATTTTTATGTGTTCCGTATTGTGCATTTTGCGCATTGTCAAACAATAAAATAAATTAATAATTTAATTATACAATAAACATACGAATTATATAATATATCGCAAATGGTGACTGGTATATATTGAGGGAGTACATTTGGGACACCTACACTGGAACACTCAGGCTCGATAACTCGCGGGAGGCGGGGCGTGGGAGACGCTTTGAGGGTATTGTTTCTTAATGCTGGAGTGATCTGCTACCTGCTGTTTCTTATAGAGGCTGGAGGACTATATTCTTATTTTTTAACACAACCTAGCATACATACTAAGTATAACAAACAGGGCGACTAAATTTTGCCGATTTAACCTATATTTGTCTTGATACTTGATTTAATTGAAAAAAATAAAATTTTCAATTAGATCGAAAACTATATTTGTTTTGAAATTGGAAATAACATAAAGATTTCATTAACGACATTATAATAGAAAAATAAATAAAAAGGCATCTTAAACTGGAAGGTGTAGCGTACAGTATGTGGCCAGTGGTCGATTCTCTTTATGGTTGTCTATTATCTCTTTGTATGGGCTCATATACGTACGTACATGTAAGATATCTCACTCAGGATTGAGGTAGGATAAAAACTCACAATGCGTTTTCTGTATATATATTATTGTACAGTGCAGTACTAAGGAGTTACTAGGTGGTGAGTAGTTTGCTCAGAGGTCCTGTTGGGCGAGGAGCTGATTGGTGAGGCGCTGGTCCAGACGGTCGTGTAGAATGACCTCTCCTGCCAGCCTGTCCCGTATTTATGTGATTCTGCCGCATGAGGAATCGAGGCGCGCATAGTGCGAGTCAAATCACGGGGGGAGAACGCGAAAGGTGTGAAACTCTCTGATCCTGAGCTTGAGGTGGAAGGTCAAGACTAGGTCGGCGGTCGTACCACTGTGGGGTTATGTGATGTTGGTTTACACTCAGGATGGGTTGGAGAAAGGAAACTCACAATGTGCTCTCTGTATACATGTTGTATTGGATGTACAATGCAGCTTGGTGCTGGGAAGGCAGCATGGTTACAAGTGTGATGTAGAGAGAGCTGGTTGGTGAGGGTGCTCAGAGGAGGACAGCTTGTGGGTCGCCAAGCTCGCCGGCGGGAGCGAGGACCGCCAGGCAGGCGGAGGAGGAGGAGGTGTTGCTGGCTGGTTGGTGTAGGTAGAAAGAGAGATCACCACGAGGTCAGGTCTTAAATAGCGGGGGTTGGCGTGGCTTAGTTGCCCCCGCTCCGTGGGCGGCGCTGGTTGACCTAGACCACGAGGCATACACAGGGGAATTCGTGGGGTCGGCTATGCAGCGACAAACAGCGTTTGTAGGGGAGAAATCCACTACAATAATCCCTCCTTCCCTCCAGGCAGTGTAGGAGACCTGTTGTCTGCAGGGTTGCATAGCACATGTGAGGCAGAACGGGCGGTGCATGCCTCATGTGAGACAACGGCGATGGCGTGGAAGAGCCGGTCGCTGGAGACAACTGTCTAGATACACAATATTTGTGGGAGTAGAGAGGGAGAAAAAGGGTGTGTGGAGGCGATGAAAGTTGTGCTTCCCTCACGTCAGGTACAGAGTCGTCAGATGCGCCTGCTGGGGTGTGTGGGCCTGGGTCAGGAACAAGGGCTGTGTCAGCAGAAGCGGATGAGGGCTCGTGACAGCAGCTGGGTCCACGACAGCAGCAGGGTGCAGGACAGTAGCAGGGAGTACCTGAGGGAGAAAAGAGGGGTGTGTGGGTCCGCACTCAGGAGCATGGGCCGCGTCAGAAGCGGCAGGGGGTACTGCTGGGCCGGGGCGGCGTCTGAGGCAGGACGGGTGTGTTGGCCCGCGTCAGGAGCAGGGGCCGCATCAGGGGCGGCAGGGGGTACTGCTGGGCCGGGGGCGGCGTCTGAGGCAGGACGGGTGTGCTGGGGTCGGTAGGACGTGGCGCTTGGGGCAAGAAGAGGAGCTGGTGTCTGCTTAGAGAAGCAGTGCTGCTCTAGGGTGTCTAACGTGCGGTTTAGAGACAGTAGCTGTAGAGCCGATGAGAGCTTCCTCTGGGTGGATAAGCCAGTCTTCCATGTTGCTTGAAGACTGGGAGAGTGATCGGTTTCTCCTCCATCCTGTGTGAGTGCGAATCTCCGGGAGTCACCATTTGTGGGGTAATGATATGTTTGGTTCACTCAGGATGGGATGGAGAAAGGAAACTCACAATGTGCTCTCTGTATACATGTTGTATTGGATGTACAGTGCAGCTTGGTGCTGGGAAGGCAGCATGGTTACAAGCGTGATGTAGAGAAAGCTGGTTGGTGAGGGTGCTCAGAGGAGGACAGCTTGTGGGTCGCCATGCTCGCCGGCGGGAGCGAGGACCGCCAGGCAGGCGGAGGAGGAGGAGGTGTTGCTGGCTGGTTGGTGTAGGTAGAAAGAGAGAGATCACCACGAGGTCAGGTCTTAAATAGCGGGGGTTGGCGTGGCTTAGTAGTTGACCCCTGCTCCGTGGGCGGCACTGGTTGACCTAGACCACGAGGCATACACTGAGGAATTCGTGGGGTCGGCTATGCAGCGACAAACAGCGTTTGTAGGGGAGAAATCCACTACAGTACAATGCAGCTTGGTGCTAGGGAGAAGGCAGCATGGTTAGTGGTTACAAGCGTGAGTAGAGAGAGCTGGTTGGGGAGCGTGCTCAGAGGTGTTGCTTGCTACGGCTGTAGGTAGAAGAAGGGGTAGGTCATGGCCATGTGAGGTCTTTTATAGCGGGGGTAGGCGTGACTTGATGGTAGACCTCGGCTTTGTTCGGCGGCGCTGGTTACCGACCTAGACCACGAGGCGAAAGCTGGGGAATTCGAAGAGGGTCGGCTGGTCAGCGACAAAAGGTGGAAGATCTTTAAGTATACTGTACAGAGATTTTGAACAAAATTATTTTTTTTTCTCAGAATATTACAAGATATAATGTACCTCCTGAATATTTTGGGGGGTTGAAAAATTAATTTTGTTCAGAATCTCAGTACAGTACAGGTCATCCTCTACACTAAATAATTGGTTAATCTTTCTGGGCCTTAACCAAAAATATCTGTAATAACTTCTGCACTCCCTCTTTTCCAACCTGATAACTCTATAGCCAACACTCCTGATAAAGCCAATCTCTTTGGCACCTTATTCTCCCCAAACTCCACCTTTGACGATTCCAACTCTACCCCTCCTACTCCTGCTCCTCCTACTAAACCTATGCACTTTCCTATAATCTCCAATTGTAAGGTTGCTGTTGTGTTATCCAATCTGGATGTGAGTAAGGCACATGGAGTGTGCCGAGGTTCTGGCCCCTGCACTTGCTCACCTCTTTTGCCTCAAAACCCAAACTTTCCATTCTTCTTGGAAGCATGCCTTGGTTCAGCCCATCCCTAAGAAGGATGCTCATTCTAATTCCTTTAACTATTGCTCCATTGCCCTAACTTCATCCCTCTCTAAGATTTTTTAAACTATCTTAAACTCTCATTTTCTTTGTCACTTGAATCCCTTTCTCTTTTGTCGGATCACCACTATGGTTTCCGCTAGGTGAGGTCTACTGGTGATCTGCTCTCCTACTGCACGCACCTTTGGTCATCCTCTCTTAGGGATTATGGGGCAACCTTTGTTGTGACCCTCAACATCTCCAAACTTCCTTCTTTTGGTTTCTCTGCTCCACTCTGTTCTCATATCTCGCTTCCTTGAGAACCGAACCATGGCAGTTGTTGTTGAGTGATCACTCTCTTGCTCTTTCTCTTACCAATACAGGAGTGGTATTCCACAGGGTTCTATTCTTTCACTTACTCTCTTCCTTCTTTTTATCAATGATTTACTTAAAAATACTACTAATTCTATCTATTCTTACACTGATAAATCTACTCTTCACTCTTCTCATTTTCCCTTCCCTCTAATTCTCAAACTAGATTTGTTTCTAGAGCTGATATCGTTTCTTCTATCAATGTGGATCTGTGCAACATATCTGAATGCTGAGTAAGAAATTTGCTCAAATTCAACAGTAAGAAAAAGCCTTTTTTTTTAAAAGCCTGTTTTTGTGATATAGTCCAGAATGCGACGTCTAGCTTTATACCTAGGTATGTAAATGTCTAGCATTAACTCGCCAGGCCAACTTACAGGCAATTAAAACATCTAATAATTACTTAAAACATAATATTAGGACACGTCGCTACCTGGCATTTATTTTGATCTCCGACCAATCACATTTCAGGACACAACCATTTTGCCATATTCTAAAATAGATACGCTCGGTAGGCCTCGCCATTTCTTCTAATATGTCATGGAAGCCACACATCCACGCCATAGCTAAAGCTGCCTCCCAAAAGCTGGGAATGTTGTACAGATGCCGTAGCTACTACACTCCTGAGCAATTTTTAGGTTTATAAGGGATTCATTCATCGTAACTTGGAGTACAAACTGCTCTCATATCTGGGGTGACTCTTCTGGAATCAAAGGGTTTTTGTCTTATTAACTCTCCTCCTTTAGTCAATATTCTCTCTTCCTTTTCTCTTTGCTGCAGTGTTGCTTCACTCTGTTTTACAGGTACAGTACTTTAAGGGGCAATATTCAGTGAATTTGGCATTCTGTGTATGCCGACAAGGCAGTGAGCTTATAACACTTGTCTTGTGTCGGTCACACCAGAATAACCGTTTATAGTACATCCTTCTTTCCTCACACAGCCAAACTGTGGAATTCTTTGCCTTCATTTGTTTCCATCCTCATACAATGTCTCACTTCAAAAAGCTGGTTTTCCTGCATCTTCATGGTGTACATTAAAATACTCTTGATCTCTATTTTTTATATTTTTATTCTTATCTCCCCCCCCCCCCCAAGCTCCATTGTGGGTGGATGACCTGTACTTGGATAGGCTATTCCCCCTCATATATCTTGGGTACTATTCAGACAATTAATTACAACAATTTCAACATTTCAACCACTGATCCTTAATCAATGTGTCGATGACGACCTATACTGAGATTTTGAGCGAAATTAAGTTTGTTCAAAATCTTCGTACTGTAAAGGTTGTTTTCGGCCTGCAAATTATGAATCTTTGGTCAAAAAGTTGAAATTCTGTTTATTAAGTGATATCATATAAATCAGTATAATGTATTATCAAAACTTCATACTTTTGGGGAGTACTACTAAGAAATACGTA